GGTAGGGGCGCCGGGGGCCGTGCACACCTGATGGAATAATAGGAAACACCGTATGTTAATGAATAGGTGACATTTATTGAGCTTTTACTATGTATGAGGCACTGTTCTGAGCTCTATGTGATGGAATCATTTGATCACCGCATAGACCTTATGAGATCAGGAATATTATGCTGCCTAAGCTACAGGTAAGAAATAGGCAGAGAGGGTAAGTAACCTGCCCAAAGTCACAGAGCTAGTACACTGGAAGGAAGGGAATGTGCACTTGCTGATAATATCAAGGACCATTTATTGAGCATTTACTATGAGCCAAGCACAGAACTAAACACTTTATGTGCAGAATTTCACTGAATCCTTACAATAACCTCATGAGGTAGATACTATTATGCTCCTCATTTACAGATGAAGATAAGGGCTGCAAAGCACTTAGTACATAGTAAGTGCTCAATAAATGCTGCCACTCATGAAATCTAGAGAGGTCAAGTCACTCATTTAAAACCAGAGCTGGGTTCAAAGCTGGACTGTGGATGCCAGGGCTGTGCTGTCCATCACTTTCTCTCCCCTTCTCTCCTGGATGCCTGCCTCAGACCAGCTTCTTGCAACTTACCTCGTTGGTGCCTTGCTACCATCCTGTGAGGCTGGGGTTGAGTATTATTCTACAGACAGGAAACTGAGGCTGGGAGAGGGTAGATAACTTCTCTTAAGGTCTCACAGCCACTAGGTGATGAAGTTGGGAGACCAACTCATATTGAGGGCGTGTATGAAGTGGGGAAGTGGTCTGGCTCTGGGGGATACCAGATCCACAAACCGTCTAGATAAAACTCCCTGTTCTCTGTGCCAGGCCCTGGGGAAGCCCCAGCCACCGCAGCCATGCTGGCTGCCAGGGCTTTGTTCAGGCTCCAGATCACCCCAGCCATGCTGGATGTGGGGAAACATGTTTTGTTCAGGCCTCCAGATCACCCCAACCATGCTGGATGTGGGGAAACATGTTTTGTTCAGGCCTCCAGCTCACACATCTTGCGCTCAGTCCTGGAGTGACTCAGAGGGTGTGGATGGGTGGGTCTGCCTAGTGTCTGAGGGTTGCCATGGGCGTGAAAGCATGAGGCTCTCCACGTGTGTATGTGGTCTGCGTGCACATGTTCAGTGCTCCTGGAGCTGGGTGTGTGACTCTGAGCATACATGTTGCCTGTTGGTCCACCCCTTGCACGGCTGCTTTTCACCCCTCTACTGCCACCACCCTGGCCCAAGCCACCATCAACTCTTGCTGGCATATTGCCACGGCTTCCTCACTGGCCTTTCAGTGTCTGGTTCTGCACCCCTCGAGTGCATTAAATTGGATTGTCACTCCCTTGTTTAAAACTCTCTACTAGCTTCTCGTTACACTTAGAATTGCCCCAGATTCTACATTCTCACCCTTCTCTCCCACACTCTTGCCCTGCCTCTCTCTGTTCTGGCCACCCTGGGGATCTTGGGGGCTTTGTAATTTTCCTGCTGCCTGGAATGCTTTTCCTCCAGAACCTCTTGTGGCTGGATCCTTCTCATCAAGGAGGCCTCTGCTCAAACATCTCCTCAGAGCAGTGATTTTCAACCTTTTTCATCTCATGGCACAGAAACTAATTACTAAAATTCTGTGGCACCCCCCCAAAAATATTTTTGCCAATCTGACAAAAAAATAGGTATAATTTTGATTCATTCACACTGGACAGCTACTGTTGTGTGGGCTGCTGTCATTTTTTAAATGTGACAATATAAGGGAAAAGAGGTCAGTGCCCCTGACAAAATAGTCAGGTATTGCATATTTAAAAAATTCTTGGGGCACACCAGTGTGCCTGCCACAACACACTGGTTAAAAATCACTGCCTTAGAGGCCTCCCCTGAGTCTGCTGCTTCTAAGCCCATTTCCTCCCAGTCACTCTGCTCCTGTCCTCTTTATTTTCTTTATAGCATTTAATCACCATTTGAAATTAAAGTATTTTTTAGTTTATTTGTTTTAATTTATTGTCTGTCTCCCCTATTAGAATGTCCACTCTTGTCTTGCTAACTGCTTTATTAGTGTCTAGCGCTTGGCACATAGTAGGTACTGAATACATGTTGAATGAATATAAAACGAATGCTGAATTCTTACTGAGGCAGCTTGGAGGGAGGGGCTGGGAGTTGTAGGCAGGAGCCCTAAGGGGCAGTGTGGACAGGGTAGCTTGGGGGAAGACTTCTCCTCACTGGAGAGAAGGCANGAAGACTTCTCACTGGAGAGAAGGCGAAGTTCCTCCTCAGCACCTTGGCCCTCCAGATGCCTGTTCTCTGGGCATCTCAGACAGGACGGGGGCACTGCGGAAGCCCCCATCGCTGCACACCCTCCTCTGCGCCCCTTCTCTGCTCCTTCTAAGACCTGGCCTTTGGGGAGGGACAGTGGAATGTGCATGAGGTCTAGAGTCACATCTGGATTCAAGCCTCAACTCTTCCACTTACTAGCTGTTGACTTCTAGAAATTCCCTAATCTCCTTGACTCCCCGTTTTTACCTCTAAAGGGAAATAAGTCCTCCTTTCTCCAGCTGTTGTCGGAGTCAAGAGACCAATTCCTCCCCAGCCTGCCACTCACCTGGTGGAAGTTAGGAAAACCGAGGGGGAGGCTGCAGCCCTGTCCGCCAGCCCTGGGGGGAGAGGGGTCCCGACACGTGCTTTCCCTAGACCCCCCTCCCGAGGCAGCCCGCACGCGTGCAGCCCCCTCCAGGGCGCCCACCTCCCGTCCTCTGGTCCTGTCTGTCCAGCCCCGCCTGACACACCCCAGGGACGCGACTCACCAGCAAAGAATTTCCCTCCAAGCCCAGGCTCGGGACTGGTGGAGCCGGTTCTGGTTCCCCACTGCCCGCAGTCCCCCAATAACAGCTCCCAGCACCCGCTTTTCCCCAGCTCCTGGGCCGGGCAGCGCCCAGACGCTGTCCCCACTCGGTCGGCCTCTTCCCACCCGCGGGACAGAACGACAGCGAGTCCAGGGCGCGCGGACGATGCGGGCACCCGCCCCGCGCGGCCGAGGACCCGCGGACAACTTCGCCGTCGCGGATTCCCAACAAAATCTCAAACCCTCCTTCCTCCCCCCCATTTTCTCAGCCACGTCAGGCAGTTTGGGGGCTTGCGGACGTGGGCGGGGGTGTCTGGCGACCCTCCAGCAGCCGGAGCCCCGGCTCCCGCCCAGAGTCGAGGGGAGAGAAGGCGGTGGAGAGGCTGGGGTGCGGAGGTCCCTC